TGCCTCATGCATGCCAGGCTAGCGCTCTGCCACTGAGCTACAGTCTCAGCCCAGGGTTGTCACATCTTAACCCATGTTTCAGATGCAGTGATTCTTGTCATATCCATTTACTTCTATTTCCTCTGCTTGCTTTTACATCTTTTCTTGTTCTATTCTCTCGGTTTGAAAAAGCTTCTGTTTTTCATTGAGCTCATTCACAGGCTTCATTGCCTCTGAAAATCTTTCCCTGATGACAGCTTACCATAAGAAAGAAGTTGATTGTAATGCATCCCAGCACACACATGCATCTTCAGAAAACTGAAAAATGTTCTATGAACTAATACCCTTACTATGTGAGATGCATTTTTGCCCTCTTTCTTAGCTTCTTTTACATCATAATTGATCTTGTCTCTTTACTGGTCAGTCTCCACTGAGTATAGTGTCTCTTTTTCATCTATATCCTGTGTCAAAGCATAATATAAAGTTAATAAATATTGATTGAATTAATAATAGTTAATTGGTATACGTTATTGTAGAACTTATTATTTAAGCTTTAGCTATAGGATCTAACTTTTATGGTTGACTCTTCTGGTGGTGGTTTCACTGTAGGAGGAACTTTTTTCTTAGAATATTTTAAACCAAAATTTCTATTTTAAACTCTTCTGTTCTCTGTTTATTAATTGTGAGTAGATGCTTCTAACCTCATATCTTGGAAGATATTACTTGCATTTTGTCATGTAAGTGATCTCAGAATCTAAATTTTACTTTGAAATTTGTGGTCAAGGAAATTTGATGATGCCTAAATGCTGGACACGTAATGCTTTTTTGGTTTTATGGGAATTAGGTGATTTCAAAAGAGAGAACTTTCATCTGTAATGGTGATCAAGTGCAAATTCTGCAGGGATGAATGGCATATGAAAGCATTGAATCAGGTGGAATTGAATCATCTTATTTTTTAATTTAAAAGTTTTTTAATTGTCATTTTCATAGAATGTTTAGCTGCTTACAATTTTTATCTTTGTGAGAGATGATTGTTTGTTAAACCATTAATAGATTCTCATGGAGAACAATTATTGAAGAGAGGGTCCATTTGGTGGAATGAAATGCAAAAAGAATGAATCAAGATAAAACTTCTAGATGCAAGTACCAGAAAAATTACAACACATCCCAGTGAATTTGCAAGTGGTAAGTTTTCATTTTACGGTGGGACTATGTTTCTCATTTATTTAGTATAGTATCCTTGGAGTCTAATGTTTGTATGCACTTAATTGTACATTAGCAAATGTAGTTTGTTTACAAATTTTATATTACATTTTAACTAAGCGTATTTTCTTAAATTAGACTTTTTATAAAGAAAATAAGCTGTAAATAATACGAGTCACAGGAATATCTTTCTAAATTGCAAATATTATGTTGTTTTATGGCAGATCCTTCCACAGAGCAGTTTTTAAAAATCCTAATTTTAAAAATAATATATAGTGATAGAGGCTCAAATTAAACATTTATAACACTAATGCTGTCACTTAGTCTATTTTTAATAAACTAATTATTATCATATAATAATTCTAAATTATCTTGAAAATAATTTAGAATTGTATATAATACTGATAAACTTAGAAGAACATATAAATATATGCATAAAATAGGAAAGCCTTCTTCCTCACTCCTCTTTCTCTTTCAATTCAGTGATAATCCAGTTTGGTTGATGTGTTTTCTTCAAACAACTTTTCCCCTCTATACACATGCAGAAATTACTTATGTGTAGTTTTTGCTAAAAAAAAAAAAATGTTATAGGAACTATTCCTCAACTTATCTTCCCGACATTTAATTTTGAAAACTTTAAACAGAAATGTGGAAATCAATTTTATAGTGTTAAATCTGAATACCCATCATTTAGATTTTATAACTATTATTATTGAACTTCATCATATATTCATCTCTGTCTATCCATCAATCAGTTTTATTATTATTTTTTGATCCATTACAAAGTAAATTGCAGGTATCAGTATACTTCCTCCTCCACATACTTTAATATATGTCATTAACTAGAGTTCAGTATTGATTTACAGGGGTTTTGTAAGGTTAGTTTACATACCATGAAATGCAATAATTGGAAGTGTACATTTGCTGAGTTTTGACAAATTCATATACTTGTATAACTCAGACTCCATATTATGGTATAGATCTTTATTAGCACTATAGAAAGTTCCCTTATGCCTCTTCTTAGTCTGCCCCTATCCCTTCTCTTCTAGAAAAGCTACTGTTAAGATTTCCCTGCTTCCCACCATAAAACTTAATTTATTAATTCAGTAGTGCATTATAGGTAGTGACATGCACATATAGGTCTGCCTTCCTTTTTTTTTTCTCCCCTCAAAATTGCAGTAACTTGGGAATAGTCTACACTATGGATGTATTATAACTTATTTGATCATTCCCCTCTTCTACATGGACATCTAGGCTGTGCTATATTTTTCTAATTTACAAGAAGTGCTGTGTCCTTTATACCGCCTTTTATGTATAAAAGGGTTTTATACCCATATGATTGTATCAGTTTATGTGCACACTGGTAATTTAAGAGAGTGCCCTTTCCCTATGTCCTCTCAACATTGAATATCATCTATCTTCTTGAAAGTTTTTTAATAAATTGATGAAAAATATACCTAGTTATTTTACATTTCCTAATCAGTAATGATTAGCCATTGGATTTTATGTTCTATTTTTGAATTGCCTTTTAATATATTTCCTTTGTATGTCTCTTATCGTTCATGTGTTATAGTATTTTCTCCATGGATACTGTATCTTTTGACTTGGTGTTTGGTGTGTTTTGGGATCAGCAATTTTAATTTTTATGTGGTTGAAATTATGGGTTTTGTGAAGGCCATCCTCATTCCAAGCTTTTAAAACCATTGGCTGTTTTCTTCTTCTAATTTTGCTTTTTATTGAAATTAAGAACCAAAAGATCATTGGAATTGAAGTGCCAGGAAAAATTTCATATGGAAAATGAGATTCAGATTGTCCTGAATTGTGAGTTAAACTTAAATAGAGTTAAGGCGAATAGTGGGGATATTTCAAACAGGAGTAATGAATGATGGAATGTGTTTTTCATATTCATAGAACTGCCATCAAACCACTTTGGCCAAGATGATGAGTCATACAAAACTGTGTTTGGGGATATACTTGTGACAAGATTTCTTATAATTATTTTGGCTAATCTTTATGATTTTCTAACTTCTGCATTCTGATGTTACCATTTTCTGTCATATAGTAGTTTTCTGTTATTTTTCTTTTCCTAATTCCATAAATATTCTTCCTGAGGAAAATATGTGGTGAAATGCAGTTGCCTGAAAAGGCAGAAAAGGAAAGGTGGTATCCATCCCATTGGAAAAATCTGAACATCGTAAATATTTACTCAGTGTAGTTTAATTAGAGTTGAATTATAATTTCTTTAAAAATAGTTTGTGCTGTAGTAATTTACATCATTATGAAATTAGTGATTACACTCAAGTTTAGTTACTAGATAGTGATCTTTAAAAATCTTGAAATACCAGTGTATCTACTAGTCACATCAAAGTTTGAGTTATGAGTTCACCACTTAATATTATAAATTAGTATGTTGCTAATGAAAGTACTTAACAAAATGCCACCCTTAAGACCAAGCAGCAGCATTGTATTCAGCTTGCTTGTTGCTCAGGATGTGTAATAGTTTCTGTTCAGCCATAAGCCACGACTGGTAGATATTAACTGACTGGAGTGATCCTACAACTCTATCAGTTATGTGTTTGTAGTTGTAATCAGATTTGGAGCTCTTTGGACAACCGTTTTCTTCTCTACAACCCTGTTTTAAGGATTATGTGGCACTAATTTTCTCTCACCAGGTATTTATTTAAATATTCAACATCTTGTTCATTGTTTTATTTTTCTATCCTGTGCTCATTGTTAATTGGGGTTGCTTGTTCTTTTAGAGCTGATCATTTTTGCATTCAGGAAAAAATGGACACATTTTTAAATGATACTTTTTACTATGCAGTATTTTCTGTTGTGAGGCTCTTTTATGGATGAGAAAATTTTGCTGTTTTCTGGTAGAGAGAAATGAAAACAGTTTAAAAAATGAATGAGTATTTGATAATTTTCCTACTTGTTTTGCCGGTTTGTATGCTTTTCTGTTTCTAATGTTAATAAAATTAGAAATAAATAATGAAATTACTCTATTCTGTGTAATTATTGGAATTCACATTCTGTTTTTTAGTCCTGAACAGAACTGAAACATTAAAGGACAAAAAGGTACATGAAGTTAATAATATTGAGCATGTTGAGAAACAGAACCTTCTGTCATTTCTTTTAGCACTTGGTAGTTGGCAAGGCTGTAAAAAATTAACATTCTTTGGAATGTTTCTCTTTTTAGCTGTGTAAATAGCTTACCATTTGCATATGAACTTCTTTAGTTTTAAAAATACTGATACCTATCAAATTATACAGATATTAAGCTTTATACTCTCTGATTTTCTTTAATGATAACTGATCTGTCTTTTCATTTTCTAATGAAGGGATAGTGAAATTTAGCTTTTACTTTTAAAAACCTGGGTACTATTCCTGTTTTGGAAGTCTTATGCAAATACTAATTTGGGCCATATCTGACTAAAACTGTTGAATGGTATTGCATTTGAGTTCTTGTCTCCCCACCTCCCTTCATTTCCCAGTATTTGCAGGATCTAGGAAGGAGAGACAGATTATTCCTTTAAGAATTAAATAGCTCCTTAATCTTTATTTTGGTAGCTTTATTTATTTTTATTTTTATTTTCTGTTATGTATGTGTGTGTGTGTGTTTTAGTTATACATGATGGTAGACTCTGTTTTGATATATTTATACAAGCATGAAATCTTATCTTACTCTAATTAGGATCCCAGTCTTGTACACTATGTTGAGATTCATTGTGGTATATTCATACATGTACACAGGAAAGTTATGTCAGATTCATTCCACTGTCTTTCCTATTCCCCTTTGTCTAATCCACTGAACTATTATTCCTCCCATCCCTGTTGTGTGTTAGCATCCACATATTGAGAAAACATTTGACCTTTGTTTTTTTTGGGATTGGTGTATTTCATTTAGCATGATAGTCTCTAGATCCTAGGCCTCTAATGGTACTCTGAGGCTTTTCAATTGAAGATAAATTACTCTTAGAATAAAATAGTTGGGATATAAGTTGGAAGTCTAGTAGTCATCCATGACTCTTTTCTCTGCAACTCCTAATATTGAATCAATTAATAAGACTCACTGGTTTGATTCTATTTTTTTAGTTGGCCCTTGTCTAAAACTAAGTTTGGCTTTTGTATTCTCTTAGCCTAACTGATCTTTGTCTTTAATTTTATCCTCCATACCAAAGCTTCACTAACTTATTTAAAACAAATTCATCAGGTTAACCTCCTGCTATGATAGGTTTCCTTTGCCTAAGAATGAAGTCTTAGCATTTTAAATGTCATCTTTGTGTCCTTCCTGCTGTAGCCCTTTATTTCTCATTTCTTACCAGTCACTATCCATAGAAACTTTTTTTTTTTTTTTTTGGTACTTGGATTACACCCAGGGGTCCTTTCAGGGGTCCTTTGTCCCCAGTCCTTTTATTGAGTTGCTTAGGGCCTTGCTAAGTTACTGAGACTTGTTTTGAACTTGGATCCTCCTGCCTCAGCCTCCCTAATCTCTAAGATGATAGGCGTATGCCACTGTGCCCAGCCACAGAAAGCTTTATGATTTGTTGTTAGTAATACCTCCTGCAGTTTTTACTCTTATATATCTCCAGTTGTTCTTTTTTTGGGGTATTATTGTCACTTTCCTTTCTTGGATAACTTCTTCTTATCTTTGAAGACTGAACTCAGTTTTCATTTGTTATAGAAAATCTTGCTTAAATCCGCATTTAACTATTTCCTTCTTTTGTGCCCCTACTGACAATTTGAGTACATATCTGGAACTTACTATATTATACTAAATATTTTTGTGACTCTTTACCATTAGACTGTTAGTTTCTTTAAGCAAAGACCATATCTTAGTCTTAGTTGCATCTTCAATGTCTAACAAGTGACTGGTGTATAGCAGAGACTCAGTCAATATTTATTGAGTTGAGTAAATTCAACTCATAGCTGTAGTATTGACATCTTTGTAAAGATTCAGGTTTAATGGTTTCTAGATAACAGTTGTATCAGACACCTGGAAAGCACTTTAAATTGTTTTATTGGTTTTTGAACTCTATGAAGAATTAAGATTTATTAGATTGCAATGGGAATATATATTCTTTTAAAGCTTCTCAGTTGATTCTGGTTTCTTACAAGTTCAAGAACCATTGTCCTGGTTTATTGTTATTTCTATATATTTGATATAAAAATTGCCCACTAAATCTTATATTCTAAGTGCTATTGTTTAAGCATTATAAATGTAGATATATTTTAAGTCATTTCATTGATATCTATAGTTGAAGTATATCTTAACTTATTAAGTGTCTCATTTGGAGATCTGTTGGTGGGTCATTAATACTCAATTGAAAACAAAGCCCCATTTAAACAAGAGTCTTCTTGAGTAGATAGTAGTAAAATTAGTTGGGCTTTATGAATTTTAATGTTTCTAGCAATTTGTACATGATTTTAAAAACATTTTATTGTGTTTTAAAATTAAACTGAACTGCACAAGCCTTCAGTATACAGCTCAGTGAATGTTTCTATATGTATATATCCACAGGGTACCATCCACATCAAGATATAAAACATTTTTAGCCCTTCAGAGGTTAAAACACACCCCTTTTCAGTTAATACACACCCTTTCATTACAGGATAAACACTATTTTGGCTTGTGTGACCATCAGTAGTCTTACAGTTAAATCTACTAAAAATTTTTTATAAATCTTTTGCTGGACATGTACACTTATTTCTCTTGGGTTTATACATGAAATTGTAGGGTTAGAGCAAATATTGTTTTAATTTCAGCAGATAATACCAGTTTACACTCGTAATAGAAATTCATAATGAACAGTTGAAATTAAATTATTTGAGGCTTTTGGTGAAATTTAATACCTAGAAGTTTCTGTTTTCATAAGTGTTTATTGTTACAAAATCAAATATACAAAAAAGTTAGTAAATGCATTTTATAGGTGCCAGAAACGCAGTTTTTAGTCAAGTAATTTTTTCTCTGTTTGTAACTTTTTTTTCCCCCCCTTCTTCTTAGGATTGTCTTTCCTTGTGGGTTGGCAGGCAGTTATAGGACTGCAAAATGGGTCTCCGGATTCACTTTGTTGTTGACCCACATGGTTGGTGCTGCATGGGTTTGATTGTCTTTGTCTGGTTATACAATATTGTTTTAATTCCCAAAATTGTCCTCTTTCCTCACTATGAAGAAGGACATATTCCAGGCATAGTAATAATAAGTAAGTTTTTAGATCTTTATTTGTTTTCTTTATAATTAAAGTTTTTTCATTGTGTATGTTTTTGAAGAGTAGTGCCACTATGATAATCTTCCTTTTAATGTATTTATTATTTTAGTAGTGTTATTATTATTATAAATTAAATAAGTTTTAAAATTAAATAAGTTTTTAAAATAATAGTTTTTATATATTTGCATATTGAAGAGCTATCTCCATATTTATCTAAGTCTGAAAAATACATATAAAGACCATTTTGTTAAAAAAAAAACAGCAGTTTATGTTTGCATTTTTAATGTTTCTGTTTTGTATTTAATTGCAAATATGGAAGTTCTAAGAATGGGGATGGTAGTGTACATTATTGGGAAATGAGAGTTTCATTCTACTAAAATCATTGATTTTGATTATGAAGTTGATTATGACCTCACTTTGAACTTCTGAATAATTAATTTTTGCTATAAAATATATGTTAATGGTATATTTTACATGTATATGTACATGTACATTGTTTTTATGTACTTTACCTCATTTCTACTTTAAAAGAGCTATGGGTTATATAATTTCTTTTATACAGATGATAAAACTGACTTATAGCTATGCAATTAGTCCAGGAGTGAGCACGCAAATTGTTTCCTTTTACATGTGCAGTGTGTTTTGTTTTTATTCCCTCAACAAAATGCATGTGTCTTACTAATTTAAATTGTGAAATTATAGACTGAATCTGTTTTCCCTTGCTATTTTTTCCTGTTTTTTAATTTTAAAATTAAAAAGTTTCTAATTCTTTATTCTCAAGCATCTTAAGAGTCATCAAAAGGTGCAATTGAACATCTCTAATTGAGAGTAATTTTGAAGATAGAATTAATGGAAAAATTCAAGAGTAAAATATTTTTTAAAATGCTATCAAATATAGTAGGGTCCATTTGTATCATTTTTGATGAGACGTCACTCTTATTAAAGAAACTGATTTATATCAAATTTATACGTTATTAATATGCAAAATAATATTTAAAATTGAACATGTAGTATAGTTTGGGCAGTATTGATTATTTAATTTTTCATTTCATCTTTTTAGAAATTATTTATCCTGATAGTGTTAGTTAATATATACTTTTTAAACACAAATATGCTTGTTGATAATGTATTTTGAAGGGTGAATGACTAATTTATTAATTTATTTATTTTAAATAGTATTTTATGGCATTGCCATATTTTGTCTGGTCGCCTTAGTGAGGGCCTCAATAACTGACCCAGGAAGACTCCCAGAGAACCCTAAGATCCCACATGGAGGTATGCTACTCTTTGGGTTTATCAGTTTTGCTGGTACAAGAATTATTATCTTTATCAATGTATTTTATTATATGCATTAAATACTGTGTTTGTGTCTATCATTTAACACCATTTTTAAGTCTTTGCTCACATTTTTCTTTCCAGACTTCTCTATTTAAAATTACAAACCGTCCCTTCCACTTCCCTCTCATTCCCTGGCTCTCTTTTTCAGTTTGTCTCCTTTTACCTATTCCAGATCTATATAACCTTTGTGAGAGTATAGATTTATTTTCCTTGGGTTTTCTTCCTTCATTTATTGCTATATCCCTAGTGTCTAGAAGAATCTCTGTCACTTATATGAGCAACAAATATTTGTTGAATGAAATATAATTATCTGAGAAATTCTATTTTTATTTTAGAAAGGAATTTTGTTGCTGTTGCCATATACCTCATGATATTATAAATGTAATATTGCCTAGAGTAAATATTTGTAGTATTATGAACACTGTTTCCTATATATCTCCAAGTTTTAACATAGTCAGTGAAACATTTGAAAACTTTTTAATGTAGTGTCATTTAAACATAATGTTTGATCATCCTATTGTATAATAACCATTTAAATAACAAAAGTAAGTAAAAATATACTACTTGTTTTATTATATACCAGACATATATTATATACCAGACATAGTATAAACTCATCCTCCTGAGTCTTGCTTTTTGCTTTTTTGCTATATAATTTTTGAGAACGTTGTACTTTGTTCTAGTAAGGAATTTATATCTTTGTAGTACTCTATAGAACTACAATACTTTCTGTTGTAATTTAGTAACTTCCAAGCTTGCTGCACATTAGAATTACCTAGGGGCCTTTAAAAATATCTCATATTGATTAAATGAGAATATCTGGATGTCAGTACATGTGTCAGTATTTTCAAAAGATCATAGTAATTTCATTAAAAGTTTGGAAACCAATGCAGTAATTCCTTGTGAATTGAGGTTAAGTGACAGGTCACTTATAGAGCCTCCTATAAGTCCTGATTATTATTTTTTGGGATCCATCATTTAGGTGCTTACTTGGCTTTAAAATTTTTGAGGTTAAATGAAAATATTATGCATATTTATGTAGCTGAAGAAGTTTCTCTTATGTTTTGGGGGAATAGGAGTGAAACCCTGAGATACTTTACCACTGAGCTACATCTACAATCTGTTTTATTTCTTAATTTTGAACAGGGTCTTGTATATTGCCCAGACTGCCCTTGAACTTGTAATCCTTTTAGTAGCTGGGATTACAGACATGCATCACTGTACCTGGCTGTAGCTATAGAAGTTTCTGAATACCATTCAAATATTTAGTTTTTATTAACTTACAGAAATACCACCTTGCAATTTGTTTCTGTTTTATGGTAGGGGCAGAGAGGGTAGTACCCTTAAGCCTTAGAATCCCTCTTCTCAACTGGCATAGCCAAAAACTCTCTAATATACAGTATATGTGTGTAATCTCTTTTAACACTAAATCCAAAAGTAAAAAGAAGTCTTTTTCTAATTCTGGATGGATTTCTGATAAATTCTTTTTGTTTGTAATGATCAAACACTCAAATGCCTACAGGCTCCAGGCACCACCAATTAGTGAAAGGAGTCAGGTTTGTGGTTTTCCTGTTGAATCTAATAGTGGCAGCCACAAGCCAGTTCCTGTGAAATCATCGTGCAATTAGATTGCTGGGTCTTAAAATTTAAAAAGTCAAAATAGGTGTATCATTCAGCTTTTTGTCACTATAATGAAATACCTGAAGTGGGCTAACTTTATAAAGCAAAAGCTTATTCAGCTTGATATTTTGGCTGCTGAAAGTCCAAATGACATGAAATACGCTCTGACAAGGCTTTATTCCAATAGAATCTTCTTTTCCATCTAAGACTAATTCCCTAGTCTTATCTTCTGAGCACTCACCAGAATTTCCCATAAGGCCCATCACACAGCATTCTACATTATTCTAACCTGTTTCTCAAAACTCTTTCAACCTATGACCATTCCAAAAGTTGACTTCACATTTTCAGGTATAGTTATAATAAAGACCCACTCCTGAAATCCATTTTTTTGTGTGTGTTTGTTTTGCATTACTATAATGAAATAAGTGAGGCAGGTTACTTATGAACAAAAGAGAAGTGTTCCGCTCACAGTTCTGAAGGTTCAGGAATGGCTGCCTGCATCTGCTCAGCTCTATTGAGGGCCCTTTTGGCTGCATCATATCATGGTGGATGGTGATGGTGGGAATGCATATGGGAGTGAACAATCACATTTCCAAACAAGAAGCCGAAGAGTTACTTAGTGGGGCCAGGCTCAGGCCTTCCTAACAACTTGCTCTCATGAGAACTTACTCTAGGAGACTGGTATTCCCTTCCAAGAACAGTACCCCCAATTATCTGAGTGATTCCCACTAGGCCCTACCTCTTAAAGATTGTTTCAGCTGTCACTGTACCACACTGAGGACCAGTCTTCTGCATATGGACCCTTGAGGGACAAATCACATCCAAACTGGAATCCAATTTTTATGAGAAAGTTCATCATTCAAAAAAACATAAAAAAATCTGGATTCAATCCCCAGTACTACAATACCACCACCACTCCTGAACAACAGCCAAAAAAGTAAACAACAACAACAATAATAACAACAAAACAAACGTAATTAAGAATTTTAAAAACGTTTTGAATACCAACAAATATCTGTAGATCTCACTGAGTCCATATTAGACCACAGTATTATTTTAGATTATAAATGCTAGTGATGGAAGATATCATAGCATGTTGTTTTGACTCTGGGTATCTGCATTACATCTTGTTTTAATTGACAGTTGGCCTGTTTTTCTTTGAGTCCAAGAACTTCCCTTTTATCCAATCAGAAAATACATTTATGTATTATATTTTAATGTTTTCAAAGTCTGTGGTTGTCTCATATTACAAGGTCTTCATGGTAATTGAAGTAGGAAGCCTGGGTAGTCAGGAGCATGGATTGTCTATGCTAGAGTACACAACTATTATGTTATAGAGCTGGTGTGAAACCCAGAGCCCTGTCTCTTATCTTTTTACCATAGATCTATGTACAGATGAATAATTTTAGTTCTTTTTCACCTATGTTATGATTTTAGGGAAAATTGAAGTCATCATATACTTATATACTTTTTGTTGCTGGTTACCTGATTCTTTTGTAAATATGATTTTTTTTTTGTACCAAGGATTGAATCCAAAGTGTTTAACCACTGAGCCATTTCCCCAGCCCTTTTTATATTTTGAGACAGGATCTTACTATGTTGCTTATAGTCTTGCTAAGTTCCCGAAGCTGGCTTTGAAACCATGATTCTCCTGCCTCAGCCTCCCAAGCCTCTAGGATTATAGGCATGTAATAATCTTTAAATCTTTTTTTAAAAAAAATTTTTAAAATTTTAATTTATTCTAATTAGTTATATATGACATTGACACATCATACATAGATGGAGTTTAACTTCTCTTTATGCCTCCATGCCCAGCATAAATATGATTTTAACAGGCAAAAAGATCAACAAAATGTTAGCAGTAAAAAATAATATATCATGAATAAAGTATTGAAGCCCAAGAATAGTGACATTTATTCAGTAATATTTGAAGGTTGAACAGTTTTATATAATTAAGTTCTTCACAAAAGGAAACTTAAAGCCCTAATACTTTTACAATTTTAACCATCTTAATTGAATTACTCTGAAATATTTTGCATACCTTTCTGAATGTGTATGTTTATGTGTTTATGAATAACTTTAGTATACTTGGAATCCACTAAATATGAGGCAAGTTGAATACAAGGGAATGTCCCATTTTTTATGAGGAAACCCCAGAATTTGATTTAAAAAACTTTTGGGCATGTAGATAAAATAATCAAATGAATTGTACATGTCTATTTATACTATTTGAAATTTTCACATGCATGTTTGAAATAATAAATATAAAATAACACCTCGATTTAAGAATATCATTTTTTATCACTTTCACATTTTATGAAATGATTTTATTCAATCTTTTAATTTTTTAAAAAACCACTTTGTTGAGCATAATTCATATGCCATCATCTATTTAAAGTGTACAATTCAGTGACTTTTAGTATATTCACAGAGATCTGCAACTGTCACCACAATCATCTCTAGTTTTTGTCATCAAGTTCTTAGCTTGAGTGTGTCACTCCAATGTTTTTGTCATCTCTAAAGACACGTGTGTGTGTGTGTGTGTGTGTGTGTGTGTGTGTGTGTGGGTGTGTGTGTATTACTGAGCACTGAACCAAGGGCCTCATGGTACAAGGCAAGCACTCTATCACTAAGCTATATCCCCAGGACCCTGAAGCCACTTTTGGCACAGTGTTACTGAACAAAATCTTTTTTTAAAAAAATTTTTTAAAATTTTAATTTATTCTAATTAGTTATGTATGACATTGACACATCATACATAGATGGAGTTTAACTTCTCATTCTTCTGGTTGTACATAATGTGGAGTTGGGTCCTATAATCATATATGCACATAGGGTAATGATGTCCAATTTTTTTCTACTATCATTCCTACCCTTATACCCCCACTTTTCCCTTCACTCCCCTCTGTCTAATCCAAAGTACCCCTGTTCTTCCCTATGTCCCCAACCCTTATCGTGAATTAGCATCCACATATCAGAGAACATTTGGCCTTTAGTTCTTTGGAATTGGCTTAGCATGGTATTTTCCAGTTCCATCCATTTATCAGCAAATTCCATAATTTCATTCTTTAAGTCTGAATAGTATTCCATTGTATATATATACCACAATTTCTTTATCCATTCATCTGTTGAAGGACACCTGGGTTGGTTCCATAGTTTAGCTATGTGAATTGAGCTGCAGTACAAAATCTTCCAAGTTTTTTTCTCTTTTTTTCTTTCTTTCCTTTTTTTTTTTTTTTTAAATATAGTCTTTTTTGATGCTGTCCCTCAAAATTGTACCTCAAGCTCTAAGGATGCATGTGTGATTAATGATCATGGACATACATAGTTTTACTGTTTTCCTTCCTCTTATGTTGTTTTTAAAATGTCTTCCATAAGAGACTTATTGACATTTATTTCCTACTATTTTTGTTAGGAAACCTATATTAGGATACAAATCTTGTATTGATTTTGGTTCAGGTATTATTTTTCTTCCTCAAACAGTACTTTGTGATTTAAAATATTGTAATTAAGAGAGAAGGCCCCATAAAATGTGATTGTTTAAGACTTGAACAGAAGATGATTCCTTATTTATTTATTTTTTTAAGTTTTATTTTCTTGTAATGCTGAGGATCTAACCCAGGACCATATGTATGCTAGGCAAGTGCTTTACCACTGAACCATGTCCCCAGCTTTGATTCCTTAAGGGGAATAAAACAGCCAAATCAAACCAAACATTGCTTTATATTCATTCAGACATTTATAGCATTAATAGAGATCCAGGTTAAATAATGTGATGTTATTTACTCAAACAACCTCAGTCATTTATGCAGTTTGTTTTTTTTCCTCTTTGTTTTTTTTTCTCTCTCTTAAAAAAATGTGTTTGCTTTTAATTTTTCCATAAGTACCATAAATTATCAATTGGATTCTCTCTTTCATAGGCTTTTACTTATTTATTTTTTAAATTGTTGAAATAATTTTTATATCTTTATTTTTATGTGGTGCTGAGAATTGAACTCAGTGCCTCACACGTGTCAGGTGGGCGCTCTACCACTGAGCTATAGCCCCATCCCATAGGCTTTTATTTTATATTGTTAGATGGCTACTACAAAAATCTCAACAGTAAATCATCTGATATCAGACTGTATCATTCACCAAGGTCCTATTTTGAGCTGAGTAAACCCTGAAAAAGGAAAGAGAAGACACTAAGAAATGCTTTATCAGTATGTAGGTTAAATTAAGGTGGATGTTTTTTACTTGCAACACAGCAAAAACATTGTAGATGTACTTTATGATTCTAGATTTTTATAATAGTGATTTTTTTTTTTTACTTATTCTCTGAACACATAGGGATGCATTGTGCGTATGTATGTGTGTATAACTGTTTGTAGGTCTTTCTCATTTTAGATATTCTGTAGTATCTTCAATTTAGCCAAGCTCTTTCTTTAAACAAATTTATGGTCCAGACCACAGGTTGTCAGGCTCTTCTTTACTGTAAAGGCCTGATAGTAAATATTTTGACCTTTATGGGCCATATAAGTCTCTGTCACAACTTAGCTTTGTCATTGTAGCACAGAAAGCAGCCATGAATAATACATAAATTAATGGACATATAACAAATAAAACTTTATTTATAAACAGTGAAATTTAAGTTCATATATTTTTTCATGTCATATATGACTTTGACATATCACATTCTTAACTCATGGGTTTCAAAAACAGGTGGTGGAGTGGATTTCCTACAGACTGTAATTTGCCAGCCTGCGGTCTAAACTACAGAATTATAGGCTTTTTCTGACATAGCCAAATGCTTTCTTTTCATAGAATATAACATTTTTGGTATGAAATAAAAAAATTATTCTCTAGGCTATTATATACTGATGCTCAGAAAATACCAGAATGAAACATTATATTTATGTTTTGAAGGATTTATTTATAAACAAAGTTTTTATGTTGCCCTTTTGTGAAAATTATCTCCTAGAGTTTCCTTTCTGTCTCTATTCCTTATAATGTGTGAATTCCACGTTTTAACACTGGGATGTTTGAGAGCATTAAGCTAAGTGGAGAAAAATGATATGCTTGTGACATCATAATGTGTTACATAATGGATGAGTTTCCATTTCACTTATAGTTAAATAATACTAGTTTAATTGTATCTGAATTCAGCTTTAATATTGTTGCTGTCTCACATATGTTTCTACTAAAATAAGAACTATAAGAAATAAAAGGATTTTCTTCTAAAATAAGATTTCAAGTGTAAAAGATAATGTTATCAACTTTCTTATTGGAAAAATCAATTTTATGTAGGTTTTATTTGTACTTACTGGTTTCTTCAGAGACATCTGTAGCAGAAAATGTTTCCCTGATGCTTTACCACATTAAATTTCAGTATGTTGACTTATTCCTGGCCATTAAACTAAAATAATGGAATTCAAATGGGGAATCAATTTAGAAAATGATTTTCTAAATCATTTTAGAAAACCTCTAATATCTTTTATTTTTATTTAGAATATTTCCTTTTTTATTTTAAAATTTTCATACTTCAGCAAGCATTTGTTGACCACCTTTTGTATGTTAGTCACATTCTGCATATAGTAATATTCACTGTGAATGTGAGAGTCAGAATATGGGGTAGTATAAAATAAGTGCTGAAAAAAATTAAGAATTTTATAAAAGTTAAATTTTATTTCAATACATATTAAAAGATGCATTTATATAAGAGCACTTGATTTGTCTTGGAAGATGACTGTCCCATAATTTTATGGGTCTGATTAAAACAGTTTATAATGAAAACAAATGCCTTTTTACTTATGCAAACCTCATGTTTTTAGCATAGAATGTCATTGTGTGCTCTTTTACTATATACCAGAGAATATTCCCTGCTTAGTGATAGAATAGTTTTGTGAAGAGCCTCTTTATTTACATTATATAGTAATCTTTTTATAACCTTCCTCACTACTAAAACTATTTTGATACTTCTAAACCATTCTGATCTCCTACTCTAACTTGCTCTTGTACATATTCTCAGATTAATTCATTGATATTTTAAAAATGGTTTATGGAAAGTGTTTGGGAGTGAATACCATCTCTGTTTTTCTAGTGAGTTTATAGGATTAATTTCAACTTATTAATTTGTTGAACCCAGGACTCCATGTTATTTCTTCTTTTGCTTTTAGATAATACAGTTTCTATAAATTAGTTTGTTTAAATAAATTCTGTTTTGATATAATAATTCAGTTGTACTTTAGGGTTTTGTCATTGGATTTTACTTATATTCTAGCAATATGTGCAAAACTTAAATACATTGCTTCTGTTCCTTACTTTGACTATAACAGTAATCTTTTATTTTCATAATATTTAAAGTTAGAAACACAAAAATAAGACAGACATAGACTAAAACAACATTTATGGCACATTTATCTTGGAGACTTAGAAATCTCTTAGATATTGAAGACTTCCTATAAAAATCTTCTAAACAGTTGTTGCTGAATTTTAGCATTAATCATTTGTCTTTGTTAAATGCATTTTAATTTCTTTCTCTAGAAAGGGAGTTCTGGGAATTATGTAACAAGTGTAATTTGTTGAGACCAAAGCGTTCCCATCATTGCAGCCGCTGTGGCCACTGTGTGAGAAGAATGGATCATCACTGTCCATGGTAAGAAAAGAATAAGTCACTTTTAGCAAAAAAGAAAGAAAAGTAAAGAAAAATAAAAACAAAAACAAGTTGGTGAAAACCTCAAACTTGCCAGGATTAAACAAAAACTTTATTAAGTTATTCAGTTAAAAAAAAATTTCTAATAAGGTCATATGTATATTTTATTTGGTCATATGGTTCTGTCAATTCCCAAAGGCATTTTTCCACAGAGATTCCCTTTACTAACAACAAGGAGATATTTGAGCAGAACAATAAAAATTAACATGCACCCAAATGTACAAAAAGACTGAGGTGCTTGTATTAAATGAGGCATTTGGTACAGTATCTGTCATGCAGGAAGTACTTAAATAGTAGTTGTTAGTTCTTCTTATAACAAACCATATACATCCCATCATTTTTATTTGCCTTTTCTTTTTCAACTAAAGATACCCTGATGACCTGCTTCTACTCCATACGCCTTTTTAAGTTCTATGTATTAGATGTAGGTGTTAAGATTTCATGTCGTGCTATGCTTATGGCTCAGTGGTGTAGTGCTTGTCTTGCATGTGTGAGTCACTGGGTTTGAGTCTTAGCACTGTGTATAAATAAATGAATAAAATAAAGGTCCATCAACAACTAAAAAATTAAAAAAATAGATTTCATGCATGTTGTATGTGTAGAAGTAGTAATTAGCTGATTCTGTTGAACTGCCAACATTTTTGGTCAATAGGGGGCTCTCTTGTAAAACTTAAAATGTTCAGTTGAAAAGTAGAATTTTTGAAAACAAATGCTGTGAGAATTCTGTATTGTATCTCATTTCAAAGCTGTCACTGAAATCTGTGAACAAGATATTGTATTTAATTCTGTTTTCCTAGCATTGGATCTTGTATAAATATTTAAACTGGTATAGTGTAGCACTTTATAAATATATCTATATACATATATATTTATGTTTGTACACACATGCATGCATTTGTACAAAGTTAACTATGTTACAGTATTCTTTATAACTGCATTTATCATTTTTCTCCACTTAGCTTAATGCTCTCAAACATCCCAGTGTTAAAACATAGAATTCACACATTGTAAGGAAGAGAGATAGGAAGAAAACTCTAGAATGGAGACAATTTTTACAAAAAGGCAACATAAAAACTTTGTATTTATGAATCAATCCTTCAAAACATAAATGTTTCATTCTGGTATTTTCTGAGCACCAGCATATAATATTCTAGAGAATAAATTTTTACTTTGTACCAAAAATGTCATATTTTTGATTATTTATTTTGATGGCACAGCTAATTAGCAAACTGTTAGTGGCAATTTGATTGATTATTTAAATAGAAGATAATTTCCCAAGATTAGGGAAAATTAAGATCACTTGAAATAAAAGCACTTTGTTACTATGTATAAATTTTAAACATTGTCTAAAACTATCAACAGAATAATATAATGTGACATATAGATATTATTTTTAAAATATGCTTTAGATTTAAACAAATTAAGTCCCAAATAATTTTCTAAATCTCAATGGTGTTTGCAATCACAGTAATAGATTAAAAACAGGTATGTGAAACATGTGTTCAGAAAAGTGGTAATTACTGAAGAACTCAGTTTTAAGCACTTTTTATAGTCATGTTTCTAATGAACTAAAAATATAATAATGTTCATGGTACATTATGCCAAGATATTGATGCTTCCTTGCAAAAGAATCCTGTAGTTTTAAAGATTTAAAAAGAAATCAGCTTGGAAATGTATTTTTAAAAGTTAGTGATATTTGTTTAAGAGATAAAGACGAGCTTGTTGGTGACCAAATGAAGTGCCTTTTAACCCAAATTCTATCATGGAAGTTTTTTTCTCTGTTTCTAGGCTTATTGCTTCCCTAGTTTTATTAAAGTTTTCACAGTATTGGTAGGAGAGTAGAAGTAGAAAAGATTATATAAGATTGGAAAGGAGGGGATCTAAATAGATTTAATGCTTATTAAAGTTCTCTGGTTAAGAGTGCAGTGATCATAGCAGCTATTTGTCAAACTTCTTGGGTATAGGAAACATGGGACAAGGATGTCATCTTTTAAACCACAGCTATTAAAGAACATCTTTTGTATGTGTGTGTGCTGGGGATCGAACCCAGGGCCTTGTGCATGTAAGGCAAGCATTCTACCAACTGAACTATATCCACAACCCTTAAAGAACATCTTTGAGTGCATGCATAAGCTCACTTCTCTTACAACCCTGCTTATAAATAACAACAGTAAATCTTTTTGTTTACAAAATGTGTACTCTTAAATCTAATAAATGCCTCCACAAGGTTTCTCAGTTCTGTTTTACTTAAAAATAATTTAGTGATATACTTTAAAAATAACAGTTTAAACTAGGAGCACAACCTTTTATTTCTTTTTTTCTGTGACAGTATAATGCTGTTTTGAAATGAAAATATTTATACAAGTTAATTTTAAATTAGAGTTTTCTCCTGGAATTTTTGAAAGTTTGGATATATTATGTAAGTTAAGAACAGTTTAATACTCAGTTTAAATTAGTGTTTGAAAAATTTTGAATTATAACATTAATCGTTTATCCTACTTAGACTTCTCTGTTACGTTGCTGGAAATGTAGCTCTTAGTATTTTTAAGTGATTTTTAATACATTTGTATTTTCAGCAACCAGGAATAGATTTTTAAAAAGAAAATTGTGAACACTTAGCATTTATGTCAGAGTAGCAAATTTAAGCTGTTTTACTTCACATTGCTCTCCACAGTTAGAACACTATGCTGGAAGAAGAATGTCAAAAGAGGGTTCTTTCTTCCTTCTCTATTGGCCCTTAGCTCTTCTAACTGTACGTTCTCTGGCTAGTGGTTTAACTATTTTGTTTCTGATTCCATCAATGACCCAAGGAGACTACTTAATATCTGTTCTTCATGCCTCACTGGATTGTTGTGAGTTGAAGAATTATTGTATATATGTGGGTTTACCTTTGTTAAGTAAGAAATGTTTTACAAATGTAAGATGGTATATCTTTTTTTTTATATACAGCTTGCTTTTAGGTTTGAGTGGCTTTAGCACATCTCAGTGAAATTAAGCATATATGAAGTAATGCGAGTTTAATTTTAGTCTTACTGATCCTGAAATGAACATCTTGTTAAAGTTTAAAATATTTTTTCTTTTTCATTTTTTTTTTCTTCAGGATTAACAATTGTGTTGGTGAAGATAATCATTGGCTTTTTCTACAGTTGTGTTTCTACACTGAACTTCTTACTTGCTACGCACTGATGTTTTCTTTCTGCCACTATTATTATTTTCTTCCACTAAAAAAGCGTAATTTGGTAAGAAATGTTTATATACACTAATGTTGGAGTAGCTGTAGCATACAATTATTAGCATGGTGGTTCCTTTAAGGGCAGAAGATTAAAAAAAAAAAACAAAACAATAAGCCCCAAACTGTTAGAATTTAAGAAGTAGACCTTAATCTGATCCCTTTATGATTATTTCTTAATGTTGAGTAGCTTTTTTTAGAAACCAACATATTAGATCTTTTAATACATGTGTTTTGGTTTAAAATACCTACATGATGAAAAACAAAAAAAAAAGTGTTAAATTCTTTTTTTCAGGAATAAAGATCCAGGGGGAATGTTATTGGCTAAATTTTCTTGTTATTTTGTGTGCATGTACTAATATGTAACAACAGATCCCATCATTATGTACAGCTGTAGTGTACCAATTAAAAAATGTGTCAAGAAATTTAACAAAAAAACATAGAAACAGTTTAATTTTATAAAGGTTCTCAAACAGTTAAGTTCTTGAGAAAAAGGATTCCTTCTGCCCTTGACTTTTAACAATAATAATAAGGTGAGTTTGCAGGGTGTTTTTTAAAGAGTTATCCTTATGTTTATACCATTCAAGGCAGTGCTTTCCCTGTTGTAGAGGAGTGGAGTAGACATTGACTTCCCACAGTGGCAGTGTTGGAGGTAGTGGTGATGGCAGTAACAAGAAATTTTGATTCCCTGTGTCCACACTGGGCTATGTACATCTTATTTTCACTCATCCTGTAATTTTCCAACACCACGTGAAGACACAGAGACTAATAGAGGTGTACCAAAAGATACAAAGCTAAGAAGTGACTATTCACCTGGTTTTAGTTATAGGGCTGAGGTTTGAACCTGATATTTGTATTTTTTGATTATTATGCTTTCCATTTTATTTGGTGTTAGATTGCATTTTAAAAAATACTGTGTGTGTGTGTGTGGGGGTGTGTGTGTGTGTCTGTGTCTGTGTGTGTGTGTGTGTGTGAGAGAGAGAGAGAGAGACAGACAAGAATGATCAGGCTTACAGGTGAGGATGCAAGGTAGGGATGGAAGGGAGAAAGAATAAAACCTCTGATGGAGAAGGAATTTTTCATTTCTTTTTATATCAGTTTATACTGTTTAAACCTTTATATAAAAAAAAGGTTCTGTGGTGATACAGAATTTGGGAATTGAATTTGGGAAGAAGGGAAATTACAAGAGAAAGTCTTTAAGTTCTATGTGCTTGAATTGTTGTAGTATACATGATCATTTTGAAGAATTTTAAAAGTATTTTCTAGATATTTAGTGTTTCACTGTATATATTAGTGAGGGCTTATGATTATATTTATTGAGATATACTTGAGCAATTGAAATTACAATCTAATTACTGAAAAAAATTGAAAAAAGAATTTTAAATATGGGCATTCCACGTGTTCATTCTGGTTTTAGAAATATGTGTTCTTATTTATAGATTAATTTCTGGTATAATGGGTATTATAGTTAGAACTTGTCAGAATTCTCTTGAGTAAACTGTTTCATATAATTAAGCCTAATAAGAAAAGCATTAAAATAAAATGGCTCAGTAAAATTGAGATATTGTTTTAAAAGTGAGAGAAAAGAAAATGTAGCGGTGTTAGTGATAAAGATCTCTAAAAGGGAATGCATTGTAGTATAGAACATGGATTGACAAACTATGGGGCATTGGGTTAAATATATCTCTCTTCTTAAGTGTTTTTGACAGTTTGAAGTATTTTAAAGTTTTACTGTAAAACAACTGTTCTCATTTGTTTACATATTGTCTATGACTGCTTTTGTGCTACTACAGATTTGAGTAGTATTGTTAGAGACTATGGTCAGTAGAACTTAATGTGACCATCAAAACCTACAATATTAACTATCAGGTTCTTTACATTTGCCAGCTGTTACTGGAAAGATATTGGTTTCATAAACAAGACATAACCTAGGATCAAAGCCTGGCTTTTCTCGTAACATGTATAACCTTTGATCGGTTCTTTTACCTCTTCAATTATATTTCTTCTAAAAAATGTGAATAATAGATTAAATAAGATAATTATGTAAAAATTTCTGGTATATACTAGATATTCAGTTTATGTTACATTTCATTTTAATGAAAGCCCTTAGAAGGAGAGAACAGTTTTTCTTTGGTCTCTTAATTTTAATGAATATATTTTAGGTCATTTAGTAAGGTTACTGGAAAATTCGTGATATACTAATTCCAGTAATGAAATAAGAATGTCATGGTGGTAACTAACTGAAGGATTAAAACATTTGAAGTTATACACTGATTTCTTTCTTTAAGTGTAAGATAGAAAATCTGGAGGTATTAATGCCAATTAGAGGAAGATTTTGTTTCTTTTAAAGGAAGAAACTGACTATAGATGATATTTGAATATATCTATCTACCTTTATATGTACACATATATAATTTTAATGTGCATAATGAATGTTGAAAAAAGATAGCAATATAATAGAAGTTCATTGAAAGATTAAAAATATTAGGGAAAAATATACAAAAAGTTAGTACAAACTGGGTTTTAGGAACTCAAACCAGAATTTTTCCGTAGAGCAATTTATTGTTGAATTTTTAATTTTAAACAGTCATAATATGTTAATCAATAGTATTACTAAATAAAAGTAAAAAACCTAGATGATATTACTTAAAATAAAAGTTGCTTTCATAATCAGTAAATTATAGTCTAGATCCCCAGAATAACTTATAATTTATTTGTTATTTATATCTAATAGTGCTGAACAGATAGTCTTCTCTTAGCCTGACTTACATTATTCTTATTGCATTAAGTGGGATGTTTTTATAATTTACCATCATATTAGAGGTAATAAAATGGGAACTCAAAGAGTTTATATTATGACATTTCTAAGATCACTTTGCATCCTATTGAAAAATCCATATTTTAAAATCTTGTACATGATATATTCTCTAAATGAAGGATTTATATACATTATCAAGATAGGTTTATGGAGGGGGGAGCTTTAACACAATGTTACCCAAAATAAGAAAAGACAATTTTACTAGACAAATTTAAATACATAAAATGCAATGTTTGCTATCAGTGTTTCTAACTAAATTTATTAGAGTAAAGCGAAATTCTAGGACCAAAATTATGACTAAAATTATAGAAAGTATTTTATAATTTATAAATCTCAAAATATTCCTGGAACTGAAGCAAAATGAATGTTCAGTATACATTGAGATGAATCCTACTCATTTCATTGATTTAGGTGTTGAAAATTTAAAGCTATACAACTAGGCACACACAAATTTAGAATTGTTATATATTCTTGGTGAATTGACTCTTGTATCATTATAAAATACACTTCTTATCTATAGTAATGATTCTTGCCCATTATTTGATTAGTTGTATTAGCTTTCTTTCGGTGTTTTCATGGTTGATAAAGACAATTTTTACTTTAAAATTTTATTTTTCTTATGTCTTGTCTGTTTCTTGTAGATGGCAGATATTTTAATTAAAAACAAACAAAAAACTAGTCTTGGTCATTATCTTTTTTTTTTTTTTTTTTTGATACCAGGGATTGAACCCAGAGGCACATAACCATTGAACCACATCCCAAGCCCTTTTTATTTTGAGACAGGGCCTTACTAAGTTTTTAAGGCTGGCTTTGAACTTGTGATCCTCCTGCTTTACTCTCAGAGCCATAGGGATTATAGGCATGCACCACCATGCCCAGTGGTCATTGTCTTTTAATTAAAATACTTAGTTCATTTTTATTAAGTTTAATTCTGTCATCTTTTTATTTATTTTCTATTTGAACCCATCTGTTCTTTGTTTTCAGTTTTCTCCTTTTCCTGTCTATTTTGGAATTTTCCATTTAAATTTAAATTTTTCTGTTCTAATGGTTTTATTCTTTTACTCCTTTAAAAAAAATAGTTTTCCTGATATTTTTGAGGACATCTAATATAAGTTAGACTGTGAACATTGCCCACATCATGAATGCAGTGCCCTTAGAACATGCCCTACCATTATCATTTTTTGGTATGGTGTGGTATTCAGCAGATGTAGAACTAAAATCACATGGCAAGAAAACACTGTTGTTGTTACTTATGCATTCATTATATGTTGTGATGCATATATTATATATTGTGAATATTTATTTTGAATTATCCACATATTGGTGCTTTTCTTAGTCTTTGTGTCTTCATAAATTTCTAAGTCACTTCAGGGATTCTTTTCCTCCTGCCTTTTACTTCAAGTCTGCTGAAACAAATTCTCCCAATTTTCATACACCTGAAAATGTCTTTATTTCTTCTCCATTTTTGAAGCATTTATTGGCTGACAAAGAATTACAGATTGAAAATTGCTTTCAGGCTTTTTTTTTTTTAAAGTTATTCCATTATCTTGTGGTTTCTTATAATTTGTGTTGTAAAGCCACATGTTTGCTTATTTTTTCCTCCATAGAAATGATGTTTGTCTTTTCTGTAGCTATTTTTATGATTCTTTTTATTCTTTGTATTTTAGCAGTTATTCTGTAATTTTGTGATGTGCTTCAGTGTTACTTTTGATGCTTTTTTCCTTTTGGATACTTTTATATAATTTTTTGAATCTGTGGACTGAATGAAAATTTTAAGTTATAGAAGTTTCTTGGCCTGCATCACTTTAAATATTACTTCTGCCCTACTTTTTCTCTTGCAGTTTTGGAATTCTAATTAAATATACACGAATCTCCTTGGGTGATTCTCACTGTACTGCCTATCTTTCTGCATTTTCCTTTTTCCCTATGTAGTTTAGTCTAGATATTTTCTACTGATTTGTCTTTTGATTTACTAATTAGCTTTTCTGCTCTAATCTATTGAATTCTTAATTCAGTTATTTCATCTTTCAGTTTCATAATTTCTATTCGATCCTGTTTTTCATAGGTTACTTCTCTGATAAAATTTTCCATTTTGTCGTCTATTTTTAAAATATTTTACTCAAAGTTATTTTAATGTCTGCGTCAGATAACTTCAATTTTGAGATTTCCTTGTCTGTTTTTATTGACTTTTT